TATAATCCTTTTATATATACAATGCTGCATTGTTAGTGATAAAAAACATCAATCTACAGGTAAACAGATGGGTTGTTGTTGTTCCTATGTGCCGTCAAGTTGGACCTGACTCACAGCGACCCCTTCTTGGGTTTCCGAGGCAGTATCACTATGGAAGTAGATTGCCCCATCTTCTTTTTGAGGAGTGGCTAGTGGGTTTGAACCGCCAGCCTTCTGGTTAGCAGTCAAATGCCTTAGGCACTACATTACCAGAGCTCCCAGCAGATGGGTAGGCAGGCTGAATGATCAGGTACATCTAGGCAAAAGGGAATATACCCACGACCATATATTAGGTTGGCAGACAGTACTTCTGCAAATGTATTTGTATGTGTTGTAAGAATGTCCAAATATATAATAGAGGTAACAAGGGGCAAAGTTATGATAATTTCTTGACCACAGCCAACCATCCTGAGGGAGCAAGTAGTTGGACCTGTGGGCTCAGGTCCATGGTCACAGGGGACATCATGCTCAACTGGCATAACATGCTACATAAAGACATTGTTCTAGATCCTCCTTTGGTGAGTAGCAACTGGGGTCTTAAGAGCATGCAAGTGGCCATCTAGATGTAACAATGGGTCCCTCCTCATCCACAGCAAAGAAGAGTGAAGAAAATCAAAGATGCATGGAAACAATTAATCAAAGGGACTAGCAGACCATGTGATCCTTGGCCTATATGACTATGAGACCAGAGGAACTAGATGATGACAGGCAACTACTTGGAAAGGGATAAGTGCAGAAGATCCTGGATAGAGTTGGAGGACAACGTGGAACAAAACTCAAAATCATAAAAAAAAAAAAAAAGACCAGGTTTACTGGTCTGATAGAGCCTGGTGAGACCCCTGATGCTATGGCCCCTAGTCATCCTCCAGGTGTGGACTGAACTCACTCTTGTGGCTTTCAGCCAAACAACAGATAGGCATATAGCATGAACATTTACATCAGGTAGATACACTCTTTAGAGCGATCAATTGTGGGAGAAAAAAAGGGCAGTGTTTGCCCAAGGATATCTTGGGGGGCAGGAATACACAGGAAAGAAAGACACAGGGTAGAGGTAACAATAGGCAGGAAGTGGAAAGAGAGCTGTTAACATTGTGGGGAACTGCAGTCAATGTCACTAAACAAAATGGGTATGAACTGCTATATGGAAAATGGATTTGCTCTGTAACCTTTCGTCCAAATCACAATAAAAATTTAAAAAATAAGTAAATTTTTAAAAAAATAAAGTGAATGGAAGAAATGATGTAAAAGAGCTGAAGAGAAGATTTCAAAGGGCAGCATGAGAAGACAAAATAAAGTATTATAATGAAATATTAACCTGGAGCTGGAAAATCAAAAGGTAAGAACATGCTCAGCATTTCTCAAGCTCAAAGAACTGTAAAAAATTCTAAGCCTTGAGTAGCAATACTGAAGGCTTCTCTAGGTAAAATACTGAACAAAGCAAGAAGAATCAAGGAAGATGGAAAGACTACACAGAGTCACTGTACCAAAAGAATTGGTCAATGTTCAACCATTTGAGGAGGTAGCCTATGATCAAGAACCAATGGCAGTGAAGGAAGAAGTCCAAGCGGCACTGAAAGCATCAGCAAAAAACAGTGGTATAGTAATTGATGGAACTGAGACGTCTCAACAAATGGATGCAATGCTGTAAGTGCTCGCTCATTTTTGCCCCAAATTTGGAAGGCAGCTAGCTATTTGGCTAACTGACTGGAAGAGATCCATATCTGTGTTGTCCCAAAGAAATATAATCCAACAGAATGTGGAAATTATCAAACAATATCATTAATATTATATGCAAATAAAGTTTTATTGAAGATAATTAAAAAATGGTTGCAGCAGTACATCGACAGGGAATGGCCAGAAATTCAAGTCAGATGCAGAAGAGGATGTGGAATGAGGGATATCACTTCTGATGTCAGATGGATCTTGGTTGAAAGCACAGAATACCAGAAAGATGTTTACCTGTGTTTTATTGACTACGCAAAGGCATTCGACTGTGTGGATCCTAACAAATTATGGATAACATTGCGAAGACAGGAACTCTAGACCATTCAATTGTGCTCATGTGAAATCTGTACATAAACCAAGAAATAGTCATTTGAACAGAATAAGGGGATACTGTGTGGCTTAAAATCAGGAAAAGTGTATAAGGTTATAACCTTTCACCATACTTATTCAATCTCTGAGCAAATAATCTGAGAAGCTGGACTATATGAAAAAGACCCAAACATCAGGACTGGAGGAAGAGTCATTAACTACCTGAGATATGTAGATGATACAACCTTGCATGCTGAAGGTGCAGAAGACTTGAAGCACTTACTAAAGAAGATCAAAGACTACAGCCTTCAGTCTCTATTATACCTCAATATAAAGAAAAGTCCTCACAACTGGATCAGTAAGCAACATCACGATTGCTTGAATTCTTTCTTTTAGAAGGATCAGCATAAGGCTGCTTCCTATGAGGTAAAAAGTCAGACATGCCACTATCTTCCAACCTTTTTACCAATTCTGACACCAGTTGTCCCTCTACTACTACTTCTCTGCTGAGGTTCATTCACTGCAATGGCCACACAGAACTCAAAGACAATACTCATGATTATGGGGATTATTAGGGATGCAACAAGTTAAAATTCAGGTTCAGGAATGCTCAGGATACAATTTCTTGATCAGGACAGCCTTCCCTTAGCCATGTCCTTAGGCATACTTCTCTTTGGCTTTGGCTCCTCAGTCTGGCCTCTGCCCTGATCAGGCAAGTGTTACAAAGTTCTTTTAGCTCTGCTGATAGGTACACCTAGGTGCACCCCACTCTGCCAGCAAGCCTCCTGCCCAAAGGCACTCAGCTTTCTCATTCTGTGGCCATGCAAGCTCCCTGAGCTGTATCGTGCCACTCTTTCAGTTCTGCTGCCACAGTGTCTCTGCTTGGGTCCAACGACACATTCTTCTCTTGGTTTTTCCTTCTTGATGGTAGTTGAAATACCCTCCTCTGGCTCTGGGAAGGCTCGTTTAAGCCTCATGGCATGACAAAACTGACCAATCTCCATATTAGGGTTCCATAAATCTTATTTCTATGGTCCTGCCTTCACAAGGGTGCCATGTACCTTATTTACATTACTAACAAGCTATCCAACTCCCTAAGTAGGCCACAAAGCACCACACACTTACATAGTTCCACCCAGTCATCTAGTGGGAGTCACAAAGACCATGGCTAGAAGAGCCATACCAAGTAATTCACTGCACCACAATGATAAATGGAGAAAAGACTGAACATCATTTTACTTGGATCCACAATCAACACTCATGGAAGCAGCAGTCAAGAAATCAAACAGTGTATTACATTGGGCAAGTCTACTGTAAAAGACCTCCTTAAAGTGTTAAAAACCAAAGATGCCACTTTGAGAACTAAGGTGTAACTGACCAAGTCATGATCTTTCCAATAGCCTCATATGCATGCAAAAGCTGGACAATGAATAAGGAAGACCAACAAAGAATTGATGCATTTGAATTACAGTGTTGGGGAAGAATACTGAATATACCATGGACTGACAGAAGAATAAACAAATTTGTCTTGGGAGAAATATAGCCAGAATGCTCCTAGGAAGCGAGAATGGTGAGACTTCGTCTCATGTGCTTTGGACATCTTATCAGGAGGGACTAGTCCCTGGAGAAGGACATCATGCTTGGTAAAGCAGAGGGTCAGAGAAAAAGAGGAAGACTTTCAATGAGATGGACACAGTGGCTGCAACAATAGGCTCAAACATGGCAACAACTGTGACAATGGTGCAGGACTGGACAGCATTTCATTCTGTTGTACACAGGTAGCTATGAGTCAGAACTGATTTGACAGCAACTGATAGCAACCAAAAACAACAATGTGCTTGTTTGGGGGAGAAACCCTCCTCCCTCTTGACTGCTCTTATTAGTAAATGACAGAGGAGACTCATTCAAGTGAGATCTGGCTTCTTCATAAGCACCGAAAGTGGATGGAAGTATATCCATGAAAAGGACATCAGTTTTTTCTCCCTACATTGTCTCCCTGTGCTATAAACAAAATTAAATGTTTAAATTAAATATTTAAAACCCAATGCTTACTTTTTCCTTCTGGATAAATAATTACAGATCTACCAATTCAGCTATAACACGGGGCAGGCAAAATGACTGAAGCAGCTTACATTGTTGTTTGTTGTTGTTGTTATGTGCCATTGAGTTGGCTCCGACTCATAGCGACCCCTCCTTGGGTTTCCGAGGCAGTATCACTAAGGAATAGGATTGCCCAACCTTCCTTCCGAGGAAGGTTGGGCAATCCTACTTCCGTAGTGAAACGTTGTTGTTAGGAGGTGCCATCTAGTTGATTCTGACTCATAGGATCCATGTGACAGAGCAGAACTGCCCCATAGAGTTTTCTTGGCTGTAATCTTCACTGAAGCAGATAGCCAGGGCCTTCTCTAACCAAAAGATTTGAATTACCTTTTGGTTAGCAGCCAGGCATTTACCTTTTGCATCACCAGGGCATATACAAATTTTGGAAAAGAATATCATAAGAAATTGATCATTTCTTCAAATATCCTGCAGCTGACACTATCTAAGGTCTCTTGCAACAGTAACCCTGTAAGTGAAACACCTGTTAAATAATAGTCCTGTAAAATTATTAAGCGACATATAAAACAGTCCAATTTACTATGCCAAGCAGGTTTTTCCAAATTCTCTTCCAGGATGTTATGTTTATATAGGGGAGTGAAGAACTACTTTTCAAAGGGATCAAGATGTATTACAACATAGCAGCAGTAGTTACAGCTATAAGTTATTGTCCAACCAGTTCTTGGGAAAACACAAAATGAAAGTGATTCAGAGTAATCAGGGAGAAAGTGTTCATGGTTTCTGTGGTATGAACAGAGACTTTTTAAAATTTTTACTTGGAAGTATTTGAGGATTAATTAAGAATACTTGCTTAAAACAATGGTACCTACCGTTTGATTATGAAGAATTTTTTGGGGGACAGAATGCTCTGGACATTCGCTGGAAGTGCTGTTCTCTGCTAAGGTTGTGTTCGAAACTATCATATCCACTAATGCAACACTCAGGTTCACACGTAATGCATAGACAATGAAGAAACCAAAAAAGGCCAAGATGGCTAAGTTGTAACGAGCAGAGCAGCATACCGGAGCTGAAATAAAGATTGGAGGAAAACTTTAATTACGAGAATAATTAGATGCTATTGTCTAAACCACTAAATTAGGTTAGTTTTCAGAAGCGTGTAAATTAACAAATCATGACTATTTTTCTGAGACTATCCTCAAAGTAAGCATATCTAAAAACCTTAATCAAAAAGAATTTGTTCCCTGTATTTGTAGTTTTCATAAAAATTTACCCATGGGAGCTGAACTGTAATACATACAGTTCATTAAAATATAGAGGCAAAAGCTTTGTCAATTTTACTCAGAAAAATCTCCATGTCAGAATCAAAACTGAACCTCTAATCTGTGTCAAGGGTTTAGCTGGCAAAGATATGGTTTGGAAAATATAGGTAAGAGAATTCAATGGCATCACTATACCTAAAAAACTGCATAAAACATGGTCAGTAAGTACTTGAATACTTATTATGCCGCAACGCAGTACATACAGTACCAACTACAGGTTAGCTGCCATCTCAATGTAAAGGCAGCACAGTAAGTAAGTAAGTAAATAAATAAATAAAGCTTCGAAGACTAGGAGATGAAACCCTTCTTGATACATTTCTTACTTTGAAGAGTATCTTCAGAGGTTGGGTTTGAGCAGCTGCCATAAACTTAGGACCCTCCAAAATGAAATGTATTTAAGAATCCAGAAGTAAACTTGCAATATTTATGCTAAGTATCTGTGATGGTTGCTCAGTTATCACGCTTAAACCAAAAGCCAAGGCCATCAAGTCAATTCTGACTTATTGTGACCCTCTAGGACAGAGCAGAACTGCCCCACAGGGTTTCCAAGGTTATAAATCTTTATGGAAGCAGACTACCTTATCTTTCTCCTGCAGAGCAGTGGGTGGTTCGAAATGCTGACCTTTTGGTTAGCAGCAGAATCAGCTAACCACCATGCCACCAGAGCTCCTTTATCACACTTAAATGGTCTAGTAAAAAGGGAAACAAATGAAGCTAGAATTGTACAATGAAAAAAAAAGCCAGAGGAACCAATGAAAGAAAGGTCATGTGAAAGGAGGGGTCTGGCCAAATTTTCACTCTAATTGTGGGCATGTGCACATATTTTCTTTTTATTCTTTTACTGAGTTACAGAATTGGAAAGGGGATAGGAATTCAGGGAGCAGACTAAGAGTGATGACCCCCTCAGAAAAATAGGCATAGTCCAAACACTGAGTGTTTGATAAATGCCTGTTGAAAGACATGAACACCTATTTCATTTAGTAATGAAAAATTAAAAGTTAAATATGTATATATGAATATAAAGGAGTCCTGGTGGCACAAATGGTTAACCTCTTGGCTGGTAACCAAAAGGTTGGTGGTTCAAACCCAACCAGTGGCTCCACAGGAGAATGACATGGTGATCTGCTTCTATAAAGATTATAGCCTAGAAAACTGTATGGCGTAGCTGTACTTTGCCACATGTTGTTGTTGTTGTTATTTGCCATCGAGTCGGCCCTGACTCATAGCGACCCCTCCTTGGGTTTCCGAGGCAGTATCACTACGGAAGTAGGTATGCCCAACCTTCCTTCCGAGGAGTGGCTGGTGGGTTTCAACTGCCAGCCTTCTGGTTAGCAGTCAAGTGCCTTAGGCACTATGCTACCAGAGCCACGTAGGGTTGCTATATGTCTGAATCAACTCAGTGGCACTCAACAACAACATATGAATATATGTTTGTTTTTATTTGGTAATGATATATTAACATTACATATATGTGTGTGTTCTGTCTTCATCAACCTAATCTCACACAAAAATACATTTTTCATAGTATAAACCTCTTGGTGATTTTCAACTAAGTGATTCAGACTGAAACACTGATGAATATGGCACAGCTATACTCAGCTATGGGAGTTCTGGTAGCATAGTGCCTAAAGCACTTTACTGCTAACCAGAAGGCTGGCGGTTCAAACCCACCAGCCACTCCTCAGAAGGAAGGTTGGGCAATCTACTTCCGTAGTGATACCACCTTGGAAACCCAAGGAGGGGTCGCTATGAGTTGGGTCCGACTCGACGGCACATAACAACATACTCAGCTATAGTGGTGTAGTGAATTATTTAATATGGCTTTTCTAGCCATAGTCTTTGTAACTCCCACCAAATGACTGGGAGGGACTATGCACATGTGAGGTGCATGGGGGATTAGAGAGTTTGCTAATAATGTAAATAAGGTGCATGGCACCCCTGTGGGTATGGGACCATGCAAATAAAGTGTATGGAAACATAATGAGGGGATTGGTCAGTTTTGCCATCTTGCTATGCTTAAAATGAGCCATCCCTGAGGTGGAAAGGGGGGACCTGACTACGATAAAGGAGAGATGGGAGTATAGTATGTCTTTTGGACCTGGGGTCCCTGCCTGGGAATCTCCCAAGATCCAGGAGACAGAGCTGTAGCACCAGGGAGATGGAGACAAGTGGCAGCAGGAGCAGCAGAACTAAGAGGCAGCATGACAGTGTGGTGGGCTACCAGATCCATGAAGTGAGAAAGTTGAACACCTCTAGGCAGGAGGCTTGCTAGTAAAGTAGCATGCCTCTGAGCACTCAACGGCAGAGCTAAAAGAGCTTTGTATCACTTGTCCAAGCAGGGCAGAGGCTAAAGGGCCAGAAAGACTGGCGGACAGAGAGAGGTGTGCCTGTGGGCACTGCTGAGAAGAGGCTGTTCTGACTGAAGAACTGTATCCTGAGTCATTTCTGGTCCTGAATTGTAACCTGTTACTTCCCTAATAACCCCATAATCATAAGTATTGTCTGTGAGTTGTGTGTGACTATTGCAACAAATTACTGAGCCTAGCATAGAAATAGAGTGCCATGGGAGGATGGATGGTGTCATGGGGGGAAAGGTTCGAGGGTAGAGGCACGTCTGATGTCTGCCTCATAGGACTCAGCCTTGGGCTGCTGATGCTGATAACAGTTCTCCTTCCCCCTTGGTAAGTTAGAGAAGGTCATATGCCTTCCCTTTGTCATTCTTATAGGTATATATTAATATATCCTAACATATTCAACTCACTTTTCTATAAGCCATCACACATTTAATAATTAGAGAGCCCTGGCTGTATGGTGGTTAAAGCACTCAGCTGCTAATGGACTTGTTTGATGGCAGTAGGTTTGGATTTGTTATCAGTTTTTCTCTGGCTAAGATTTACAGAGGACCTTTTATTTGTCATTCTTGAATACTTTATTCAGGGATACAACTATTAGAATTTTGGCTGCTTTACCACAGTTAGATGAGATCTGTGCTAAGTGTCTTTCCAAGGCTCCATTCACACTGTCCTTGCTGTCTGAATCTACACACATTTGCTCTCTACTCCAACAAAATGACCAGCTGTCCAGTTAAGGACAGTTTGGATACCTTAAGGCACTTTCTATATCTGTTGCTGCGAGTTGATTCTGACTCACAGAGATCCTACAGGACAGAGTAGACCTGCCCCATAGGGTTTGCAAGGCTATAATCCTTACATAAGCAGACTGCAACACTGCTCTTACTCAGGGAGGCTAGTGGGTTCAAACTGCTGACTTCTTGGCTAGTAGTTGAGTACTTTAACTAATGTGCCACTAGGGCTCCTTGGAAGTCTGGATGGGGTCCCATAATCTCATCAAGTCTGGGCAATTTAAAATGCATTACTTTGACTAATTTGGAGCAAGGAAAATCCAGATTTATACACTATGTCTGTTTTGTTAAGGTACTATTTCCAAATTTCATCTGCTTTAGCAGAAGAGTGATAAGATATGATTCATGGCGTAAAGAGCTTATCTGGTTGTTGTGTAGGGATTATGCAGTGTAGTAAATTACTTAGTATGGCTTTTCTACCCATAAGTCATTGTAAACTCAATGGTGGAATGAGCAACTGAGGAGCTCCTGATTGTAAATGTTATCCACCTAGGTTATTTCTCTTGGGCGTAGCACAACGCAATGTTATGGGAGGCTCTCTCTCAGGTGCTTAGAGTTCTGATGCTATGATTGGCTAGTTTGGCCACTCTGCCAAGCTCAAAAGGAGGTCTCCTAGAGGCAGAACTCTCTCTGACTGCTGGTTGAGGAAGACGTCTGCTGAAAGAGACACGCGCTCCTGAGACACGCGTTGCTGGGAAAGAGACTCAAGAGACATGCATTGCTGAGTAAGACACCGAGGGACCAGCACTACTGGGAAAGAGACTGTGAAAGACTGTTGGCTGAGGGACGGCGGGCTGGGAGAGAGACTTGAGCATTTTTTTTTCCCCCTGAACTCAAATTGTAGCCTGTGGTGCTTCCCAAATAAACCCCATAATCTGTGAGCTCTGTGTGGCCACTGCAGCAAATTATCGAACCCAGGAGAGAGGTGGTAGGTGCTTTGGCAGGAACGGTTGGAGAAAGGGCTGGAGGGAGGCAGCATGTCTGGCCTTGCAGAAGTAGGCCTTGGGCTATTGATGGTGATTCTGTCTTCCTCTTGTGGGATTAGAGGAGGTCAGAATATGTGGCCTCCTTGCCCTTTTTGCAGATTATAAAGGGAAGAAGTGTGTAAGCGTGCAGGGGATAATGACCCAGACCATTTAAGGGGCTATTGCAGTTTTCCAGGTAAGAATTGAAAGTGTTTTAAACTAGGGTGAAAGCAGAGGCAATGGAGAGAAATGGGCAGATTTTAGTTTTAAAAAAGAATTGACAGGCCCTCACTGACCTATTAGATGTGGGGAAATGAAAGGAAGGGAAGACAGTATTAGTAATTCTCTTACTGTAAATGACTTTATGCTGTTCTGATAGGAAATGTTATTACCCCATTCTATCTTTTACAGTTATGCTATTTTACTGGGTGTTACTAGTTCCTCCCCAAGTGATGTTCAATTTGAATTATGCCATATCACGTTATGTACATGAGATGTGGGGCTAGAAGCTTGGGAAGTAAAGGAAAGGTTAGTAAAATGTTTCCCCATTGTTAGTGATATTACTTGAAAATCGGATCTAGAAGTTATGAATCAGGCAACTTTAAGTTATAGGGGCACAGTCAATAATGAGAAAATAAAA